GACCAATTCGGGGTGCGACCAGAGTCACAGAACGAATTAAGTTCGTAAACCGAGGTACCACTGTATATCCTAACATAAATATGTTCTTGTATTTCAAGCACCCACTGGCCTTATGGAGAGAGGTGGGGTGATGGGTGGGGTGAATAAGAATCCAGTATGCTTTTTTAAAAATGTAGACAGTTCGTTTCACTGAGTTTGGACAATGAAAATTAACTAGTCCATTTCAGGTTTTAGTTCTTAAAGAAAGCTTGTAATTTAAGTTTTCAAGCACAATCGTTCGTGTAGATAACATAAAGGAGATAAAGTGTTTCTCCAGTAGATTTAAAAAATAAAAAAAAATTTAAAACCCAAAGTATTTTTGTATGCCTTTTGTTTCCTGCAGGCTTATTTTTGCAAGCCCTGTACAGAGCCAAATTTGACCTGGCAGTGCTGTTTAAGAGATATGTTGGCAGTTAATCCACTGTAGTTTACGGCATGTGTACTGCTTTAAGAATGTCTAGAATTCTGGTAGAGAGGAGCTAGTGAAACCTTGACCGCTTTGCACGCATGTGCAGTTAATAGCCTCTCTTTTCATTTTGCCTTGATTGTATACTTTAGTCATAGAGGCTCACATCTTTCCAGTGTGAGAAGCTCCCTGTCCTGTTTCCTACTTCTAATAAAGCAGGCACCATAATAACATCAATCTTTTAGGGGCTACTTTTATTGCATTTGCAATGCCTTAACATCTCTGGAAGGCATATCCTATTTGTTTTGGATTTGCTTTGCTCCTAATTAATTAAATATTAACTACTTGGGAGAACATGAAAGGGGGAGCTGTAATAGGTTGGTAAAGAAACATAGTTAAACATACATTGGAGCAATTTTGTTAATAAGCATTGCATTTCTTTCTTTCTCTAGGTCCGAATGCATTAACAAGTTTGCATCTGTCTTTGGGACCATGCCCCTGAAAGTGGTGGAACACCGGGCAGATCCAGTCTTGTACAAAGATGACTTTCCTGAAAAGCTGAAGAGCTTTCCTAACATTGGAAGCCTGTGAAGAACAGCCACGAGTCAAGTTGGATATTGGGATCTAGTACCCCAGACGGCAATTGATGCTAGGAAAAATCTTAGGGCCTGAGAGAATCATGCCAGGGAGTATTACAGAGAGAGGTCACAAAGATTAATACTTTGCTGCTGGAAAGCCTTTCCACAGAGCATAAAACTCTTAATGCAAGATGAAGCAGTGGTGGTGAATTGCTGCATTGGTCTACTGAAATGTTTACTTGCTCTATAAAGATTGCATGCATGTGAGCATACACAATGCAACATTTCTGGTCACACAACAGAAAATACTTCTTCTCTAAGGGCTGCTAGTTCTCACATCTGTCCACTTGCAGATTGCTTTCTAGATTTGTTGCACAGGTGCCCTCTTTTGCTGGTTTGCCAGGCCTGCTTTAGCATCTTTTCAAATTCATCATAAGCATTAATTCTGCCATAGGATTGGCAGCCTTTTTTACTCAGTCGGTTAAAAAAAGAAAATGTGTATTGATGTTGGGTTCGTGTTTTTACATGACAAGATAATTGAAGTGGAATAAAGCAGCAGCTTTTCTTTTTCTTTCCGTTAAGATATCTACTTGTTAGTAAATGAACAGATTTCATGTTTTCCATCATTTCTGTTGAACAGAAGATTGAATAGTAGAACACCTTCAGACTAGACTGCATTTTAGGTGTGTAGAATGACTATTTCAGACTTAGGGTATTTTGATATTTCAGTCCGCTTTCCTTACCATATTGGAACAGTTTTTAGTTGACCAATCTCTAAACTAGGAAAACATAAAAATGTATTTTGTACTTTGGAGCTCTTGATAAAAAATACTGGGTTCAGTTCTAACATTTATTTTTGGAAGGGAGCTTTGCATGACAATTTGGATTATCTAATAGTGCAATATATTGATGATTCATAGAAAGCAGTTTATCTTCTCCTGAAAGGATTTACATCTTGATGTATAGAACTCATTATCACAAGATAATGAAAATCCATCATGTAAGCAATTGATGCTGAAGTAGATATAAAGAACATGCACCAGAGAATGAGAGACAGCGACGCCTTTGCATTTCAGAAGTATCTTGTGTCACAAAGTAGAAAGAACTTTACTATCAGTTTGAAATCATAAGAGCCCTGTGTGAAGGAATTTTAAATCTCTTTCTTCCTGGGCCAGTATAGCATCAGGTGTTTAGCCAAGAAACTACTGATAGGGAAGGTTAAGAATAACTATTTCTCTGCTGTTTAAATCTTAATAAAAATATTCCCTACCTAAGATAGCTGATGTATATTTAGAGTAGGAATGGGTTCTTCTCTTTGCATCAGCATTGTGATGTTTTAATTAGGTCCATTACGGGAGATTAACATATTTCTGCAAGGCCTATTTGAGTTCTGTTTTCAGTGGCTACTCAGTCCATAATTTCTACTCATGCAGTTTCCTCAGCTGCAGATTCCACTGACAGACTAGGAAGTTTCTTCACCCTCCCACTTAAGTCTGAAAAAGAAAAAATATATAGATTTCTAAAAATAAATTATAGAGAAATATAATGCAAGAAGTACTTCATTGTCTATCTAGAGCATCCTGGTAAAAATATTCTTATTACCATGATAATGCTGATAGAATACAAAATTTGGGGGTGGCAGCAAGGGCATTTCTGATTCAAATGCTCAGGGAATGTATAAAGCAAACTGTGTTAAATATTGGAGTTTTAAATTACCTTTTTTATTCTAAACTTTACATCTATTGTACTATTGACTAGAATGTCAAAACATTTCTTTTATATGTTTGAGTGCTCTTCTGGGGCGGCCTAATTTTGCCTCTCTTCTGAAAGTGAAGGTTACTGCCTTTTACTTCTCCACCATCTGGAATCCTTATGGGAATTCTTCAATTAAGTTGCTTCTACCATGGGAGCAGGCTTCTTTGGGGCAGCCAATGCAAAGTTGGTTTGTGTTGCTTGTCCACATTCTTCCATAACTAATCCTATGTGGTGAAGGAGGGTTTTTACCCTGCTGTGAAATGTTATTAATCAGTTAAGAATTAAGCCCATCTCAACATGTAATATAATTTATATTCCAGGTGATCTTGATGGTTTTAAAAAAACTTTACACTTCCCTCCTAAGAATGCATGTATGAGTTCCTTAAAAATCTCTCCTTTTCACCATTCTTGAAGGTGCAGTATGGATGCCTCAATTAATTGCTTCCAATGTTTGAACCCTTGCTGAAGCTCAGATTCCACTTGACTCGTGTCCCCTGTTCTTTCTGTGTGCTCAGGACTGCTCAGCTGATTGTTTCACCTATTCTTCACCAAAACTTTTTTCTTCAA